ACACAAGTGACCGCACAGTACAGGACAGTGCTGTAGATGCTGTAGTGTGTGCGTGTCTTGGGGTGACAGTTTTGGGAAGCTGAGGTCATGCTGGAACTGAGACTTCAGAGTGAATAGGTATTCCCCAGGTGGAGTGTGCTTCCCTAGGAGAAGGTAGAGCATGAGGGAAGGTCTGGAAGAGCAGAGCGTACAGGGAGTTCAGAGTGATGTAGTAAAATGAGCAAGTCAAGGGCAGCCTCGTGGGGGAATTTCTGTGTCATGCTGAGCACTTGGAAGTTCATTCTTCTGGGCAGACAGATCTCCAAAATAGCTTTGATATCAAGCTGTGAAATTGCAAGTCTGTCTTCTCTGTGTATGTGACAATTAAAAGCAGAGTTTAAAGAACAGCAACCTCTAGGGTGGGCATTTGGCACAGTAGTTAAGACATGGCATGGGATGCCCACACCTCGTATCAGATTGCCAGGGTTTGAGTCTCAGCTGCACTTCCGATTGTAACCCCCTGCTAATATGCACCGTGAGAGGCAGCAAATGATAGCTTAAGGAGGTGGGCCCATGCCACCCACGTGGAGGACCTGGATTGAGTTCCTGGCTCTGGCTTCTGCCCAACAAGGGGTGGTGGTAGGCATTTCAGGAATTTTCTAGCATATGGAAGGTCTTGCCCTTGCCATCCCCTCGCCTCCCTCTCTCTCTCCAGTAAGTCAGTTTTAAAGAACAGCAGGATCAGATCTGAAAAGTGGCCACCACAATTTCCCTGCACTGTTGTGCTGCCTGGGTAGGCGTGGTAGGTGGCATGACTGCAGGTTCTCCTGGCTCGGGAGAGCTTAGTCCTTTTCTGTCCCCGTCACCAACTTGCAGAGCAACCTGAATGCATTTAACTCTTCGGTAAATGCTGTCTGAGCTTCGGATTCCGCTGTGTGAAATGCCGATAATTATACTTATATTCGCTTGCCTCATGGGACTTCTCCTTAATATTTATAGCTGCAAAATACTTTGCAGTCATTTTTATTAATAGTTACCAGATGTGTCGTAAGTATTAATGAACTTACGATCTGAAATGTTTTGAGCTCCTGAAATAGGAGGCAACTGCTTGCACAGGGGATATGCAAACGAGCATTAAAATGCAAACAATACACATTTGGAAATTTGAGCTATTATGTATGAAGGACAAATGGCACAGTTAAGATTTCAATATGCTTTGTAGATTTATTTGGTACCCTTAAAAAGGTTGCTGGATTCATCACATGCCATTGCCAAATATAGAAGGCTCAGGACCCCCAGCCCCCGCCTGCAGATGCGGGCACACACACATACACTCGCATTCCTTAGCATACATACACACATACACTCGCATTCACTTCTTCAAATCATCCAACTTCCTGGGCATCATCTTCCGTTTCCCCAGTCTCCACAGACATCTGTTGCCGAATCGTCTCCTTTATGTCTGTGAACTTCCCTTCCTATTTCCTTTTTCTCTTAGCATCCAAATTTGGGCTCTTATTAGCTCTCTCAGTGGAACAACTGAAGTAATCTCTCTGTTTCAAAAATTTATTGGGAAGGGAGAGAGATTTGAAATGCCCACAGTAGCAAAACTGAGAGCTAGAAATTTGATCCAGGTCTCCCATATGGGTGGCAGGGCCCTGACTATTTGAGCCATCACCTGCTGCCTTGGAAGCTAGAATTGGGAGTGGAACTAAGGCTCCAACCCAGGCATTGCGATACAGATTGCGGGCATCCAAGGCAGCAGCTTAATTGCTACACCAAAGGAATACACCTGGAATTTCTTAGTTGATCATGCTAATGTTAGTATCTCCCCTGGATAAGGATTAGACATCTCAAAACATACTTCTCTCATGGCTTCAGTCAGAAACTTATGGTAAGCAAACAAGGCCACCTCCATCTGCCCTAACCCTTCTCTCTGCTGGTTAGTCTAGAGAGATCTCCATTTTCCAAGACCTGGAAAACTTAGTTGCTTTTCCAGGGATAGAGGGACCACTTGGCACGCAGCTTGGCCCCTCTGCCATCCCACCTTTGTCATGTTGCTCGAGGCCAGCCTCGTCATAAAATTGCCCCATGAAGTTTTTCCAGGCCCATTTTATTTAGGGCCCCATGCTCCTCTGCAATCCTTCGCGTTGGAAACTTTGATTGGGATCCCTGTCCCATACGGGACTTTTCGGTTATGTACTTGTGCATTCCTCCCCCGGAGTAGCTTGTCAGTAGGTTGGGAGCCAGACCCTGTACCCTCCTGATGTTTGGGTTGCCCATGGGCAGCACTTGACATGGTGCCCTGTGCGTTGTAAGCCCTGGTAGTCTTTGTTGAGCGGAATTGACATCAACAGAACCAGTGTTGGATTGCATATGTTCCTTAAATGTGTTCTCACAAATATTTTTAAGCACCTGCCGAATTTTTCTAATCACATTGAGTCGTTAAAGTGTAAATTATGTTTGTGCTCTAATTGAGTCATTTAAAAAAAAAGTTTCATCCTACCAGTTACCCTTACATTCTTGGTAGGTTTTTATATTTTTGTTTATTTTTGTTTTTGTTTTTAATTCTTCCCCTAAGCAGAGGAGATGATTTATTGTACACATGTTATGCTTGGCCACAACTGAGAACAGAGCTAGTCCAGAATATCCCAGGCCCAGGACAGAGGGCATCAGGGACTGTTTTGGTGTCAGCAGAGTGGATCTCATAGGTGGTTTCAGTGATCCACTGGCGATGGAAGTTCCAAATCTTTCGAGACAAGTTGCAGATGACGGCAAGCAGTCCAACAGCTTGTAGCAGCGGCCTGTGGTCTGGCACCACTTTCTTCTTTGGCCATCGCGGTGCGCAGGCCGGCAGTGTGCTTGGACCTCTGTCTCATCGTTCTGCGCTTCAGCCTGCGCGTTCGCGTCTTCCTCTGCTTGGCTCTCACGGTGCGGTGGTCTCCAAGAAGATGGCGCTGAAGCCGAGAGCTGTATTTCTAAGTTTTGAAAGGGTAAACTCCACCTTAGTGAAGTAGTTATTCCCGTCTTGGTTGTGAATAAGATCTGAGAAATGTGAGTACTTTGGGGTTGGAGCTTGACAAACCTCTGTCTGCCTTCGCCAAGAAATATACTTAGAACACCTTCCCATGTCAGGGCCGGAGGGGAGGGGCTTTAGGTACTCCAGAAAGGAAGTGAAGACAAAGGCAGCAGCCTCTGCACTCAGGCCTGGCTGGGAGCAAGATGCAGGCTGGAGGATGACTTGGTTCTCAGGGACTTGGCAGAGAGCCGTGGAGAATTTGGGAGGTGGGAGGAGTGTGAGCTGTTGTGGGACTTGAGGGATCCTGGCTCCTGGTCAGGGAATTGAGGTGGGAGCTGGAGGGTCTTGTGGTTCAGGCCCTTATCACATGCAGTGCTGCCCCCAGGGGGTCCTCCCTCAGACCCCTCCCACCCTAGCCCCGCCTGCCCAGGGTTTGCAGGGTGAAGTGTGAGTTCCTTCACTTGATTCCTTTGCACTTTCCGTCTTTAGCCGTTACGGCTGCCTGCTCAGTCCCCTCCCTGTGGAACCTCTTCTCAGGTCCTGTCACTGTTCCCTTCTAGCACAATCCTCTGTTTTCTTCCAGGAGCAGTCCCAAGGCCTAAGTGGTTATAATACTGCGCTTTGCTAAGAATGAGATACTCCATGCTTGTGCGTTCAGGTTAACGAGCAGCTGAGTGGGCCGATGTGCTTCAGGTGGGCTCTTCTCCCTCCTGGAGCGTGGGCTCCCTGGGAGAAGTGAAGACTTCAGTGCAGACTTAGCGTGCCGGCTCTGTCTAGACAGTCCTAGCTGCATGGAAGCCTCAGCGCCCAGCTGCACGCAGGGACCAGAAGCAACCAGATTACTTGGGACCGGAAGAAAGGAAGCTTGAAGATGTGAAATCTCTGTCTATAGGCAGTTTAAATTCTGGATTAGGGCTGCGGCCAACTGTTGTTGCCTCTGGACCCAGCAAGAAAGGGGAAGCCGGTCCTAGGCCTGCTCTGCCAGGACGAGCCCTCTCTGGAGCCGGGCACGCAGAGGCTCCGTGCAGAGCCTCGTGTCAGAGAAGGGAGACCTGGGTTGGCCAGAGGCCAGAGGCCACGTCTGCGCACCTGCTTTTCTGTCCCACTGCCGTTGTTAGCTCTGCAGCTACAAAATGACTTTTTGGTGCCTTCTGCTCCTCCTGCCGTTCCTTATCGTGGCTCTCATTTATTTATTTATTTTTTTGCTGCTTTTTAAAAAACGTTCTTTGAATGATATATCTACAAGTAACAAAGTCCTTTCCTGTGATGTTGCTCATGTCCGTTAATTCAGGCTCTTATCGCCTCACACCTGCCCTGTTGCTGCAATCTCATTACTGACTTGCCTCCTTGGACTTTAAATATTTCTTCGATCAACTTGCATCCCACTGCCAGATGAGTTTCTCCGATCTTCAGCCATCTTCTGCTTTGTGCTTAGGAATGGTAGAGAGCCCTTGTCACTACCTGATTAGGTTGGTTTCAGACACCCCGGCCCCCAGATGTGCTCACCTGCTCTATTCTGTGCCCTGGGTTTGTGCTCCAGCCAGACTGGCTTCCTTTCTGTTCTCTTCCTGTGCCATCACGTTGCCCTGGGTTCTTCCTGGCCATCAGGGCTTGGTTTGGCTTCCGCATTGTGCCTAAAATCTTTCCAGATCTTTCCTATTCTAGCCACTTCTCCATGAGAAGTCTTCTAACACTGGTCTGCATAGCCCTTGAGGAAAGAGAGGGCATGTGGGGGTGTACAAGTGCACTGTGCACTGTTGTCTTCAGTGTGTGTCTTGCGTCCCTGCTGGGGAGTAAGCCCTGCCCCGCGCTCCTTTTTTTATGAGGCGGAGCCCTTAGCACACGTGGGCCTACTTGGCGGCGACTTACTGGAGTTCTGTAGCATTGTGAGAGTTCGCCCTGGGTGAGTCCTGCTTGCTCTCTGCTTTGTCCGGTGAAAACCTCCCCCAGGGGTCCCTGTTCTGCCCCTCTGGGTCCCTGACCCGTGCCCTTGTCTCCTCAGCCCGTGCCCCGAATCATGGTGCAGTCTGCTCTCCCAGATGTCCGGGCAGCCAGGACGGAGGAGGTGAGTCAGCCGGGGGCCCCTGCACAGTGGGTGGCCCTGATGCCAAAACTGTTTGCTGCACACCCCAGGTTTTTTTCTTTCAGCGTTCCCATTTGGATAATTAACTATAATATAGGTCACTTTCTTCTCCCCCTATATTTTCCTTGTTACACTTTTCTATTTTCAACTTGTTAATCATATGATTGCTAAACTTTTAGGTGCTTGACTGCTAATGTCGTCTGCTGCTTTAATAGCCCACTGCTAGGCAGAGGAGATTTCTATAAACAGAACAATCTCCTTCTTCTAAGTGTTTGCTTAATTCTCAGTTTTACATTTCATTCCGATTCATGATATCAGCGTGAAAAGACTAATGCTAAGCTGGGGAGAAAATAGTCTCTTATGATCTCCCACAGATCAACAGCACTTCTCATCTTATGAATAGCAAATCTGTTCTCCCCCACTGTGCTTTCATTCTCTTAGGGATGCTCCATCTTCATGGGAAATTTTATTTATTAAAACAACAGCAAAAACGGCCCAGCAGTTTGACAGAGAATTCAGACCTCCGTGAATTCCTCATTTCTCAAAGGCGTTTTCACTCCAGCTCTTGGGCCTCTCCGTAGACAGCATCCTGGTGCCCCCGCCATGGTGCCTGCCATTCTGTGAGGCGGGTCAGAGCCCCTGGGCAGGACGGAGGGCTCATAGCAGGGCCGTTGCTGCTGGAGGTGCCCTAGCTGCCCGAGGGTCTGCAGCTCACCTTCGCCATCTCCTCAAGTCTGGCCTTTTGCACAGATGTCTGCAAATGTCTCTCTCAGGGCTTAATCCAAGGATGGCAGCCAGGTTGCAACTCACGGATCAGCTGCAGTCAAGTGGAGCCGCTGCCCCGAGTGCAGTCCGCAGCTGCGCCCAGTCGGCCCTTTCTGCCGGTTTGCAGGTCTCCCCGTTGTTGCTGCTACAGCAGACCTGACCCCTAGGCTGCCCTTTCACTTACTGGGAGCCTCCAGGATGACGGGTAACAGTTGTTGCCTGTGCCCTACCAGTGATTCATGCGGACAGATGGGCTAACGCCTGCGACCCCAAGGCAGTCCCTGGGGACAGCCGGAGGGCTCCTTCCTGTCCCCGGCCTTTAGTGGCCAGCCCACCAGCTCCTGAGGACTCAGTCTCGCCTGGTGGAGGGAACCCGAGGAGGGAACAGGAGCATTGCAGGCCCACAGCTGCTGCTGGGAGCTCAGTTCTTGTGTTACTTGTGTATTCTTCCCTGCGTGGTCAGTGATTTGAAAACGAAAATAGAAAAGAATAAATAAAACACGTACAAGTTGCAAAAGAAAAATGATTGAAGGACTGCCTAATCTTTTAGAGTATTTATGCTGGTGACAGTTATTGATCTATTGGATTGAGTAAATTTCGCAGCCCCGAGATCCATCACAAAAATGGGCTGTTAATCTAAAGAGGTGCCGTTAATTTCATCCCCTGAAAGTGTGCCTTGTGGGGAAAAAGGGCCTCTGGAAACAGGAATATAAATGACAATTCACAGGAAAATGCATGATTTATCAAAGTGCTGAGTTAAGCCAAGTAACTGTAAGAGACTTATAGATCTCAGCTGTTTCCCAGTTCAAATAAATCCTGTGTTTCAAATGGAAAATGACCATTCCTGTAATATAAATAATTTTTCCGTAAATATTGGAAAACATATTTCTTTCTCTGAATATCACCCCTCACCAGCCCACCCACGTCGTTGCCCATTCCTGCCTTCTCTGTCCCCGTCCCTGTGACGAGGGAGCAGAAGATATACCCGCCCGCCAGCCTCTACTGGCTTAGGATATAAACTGAAGGACACCTCGGGTGTGCCTCAGAAACACTAGGATTTGGACAGGCAGCGGCTGTCCTCATTCCCCATGAGACGGGGCTGGGTGTGACATGAGAGGCCACGGCCAGCGCAGGTGCTGCGGGCCGGCCTCAGTCAGTGGTTCCTCCTGGCCTGCCTCGAGGTCAGAGGCCCCCTGACCCGGAAGAGAAAGGGCTGGGGCTTGCGGGGAGCCTCTGCCTCTTCCTCATCTTCTGACTGCCAGCCAGGGGCACCCTGCCGGGCGCAGTCTCCGGGGGCCTTTCTTGGTGCCCAAGCTGCTAAAGCACTTCAAATCCTCCGATGAGATCATCCTTTCGATTTTGCTGGAGAAAAGTGCTCTCCTGGCCTCCTGAGTGGTTCTCTCTGTCTCCTTGTGAGGTCGGAGGCAGGCAGAGGATGCGTTTCCAAGGGAGCAGAGTTGGCAGTCTGTGCAGGGGTGCAGGGGGTGCACACCTCTCATGTGCTGCCCTGCATAGCGTGCAGCATGCCGCTGGGGAGTGGGGGGCAGGTGGCAGAATCTTTATGTAAAAGAGACGTGGAAGGGACAGGGGGTGTGGCTTGGTGGACCCTCAGTGTGGCCACATGCAGGGCCAAGGTCACGCGGACTGAGGTGCTAAGGGCACAGTCGGTCCTGCCCCAGCAGAGCTGTGGCCTTTCACACCCACACACTGCTTTTGGATTCTGCTGGGCGTGAACACCCTGTTTGGTGTTCTCAGCCCATGCTTCGCCCTTTTCCACCTGCAGGCGCAACGAGAAAGCCTGGGACCTGGCGTGTCTGCCGAGGTGACGGTGCCCAAGGTGGCCCCCGCGGTCAGGATCTGTGACATACCTGCTAAGGGTGCCTCATCGCCACCCGCTGCCGCCGCTATCACCACCCAGGCCCCAGAAGGGCAGGATGGGCCTCCCAGCCCCGTGAGCGAGGCCTCCAGCGGGTACTTCTCCCACAGCGTCTCCACCGCTACGCTGTCGGATGCACTTGGCCCGGGCCTTGACGCTGGGAGCCCAGCCGGTGGTCACACACCAGGCTCCCCGCCCATGCCCCTCTGTGCCGCCACCCCAGAGCCCGAACTCACACCACTCCCGGATGCTCCCTGTGACCCCCAGTGGCGGCCAAGCGCCGCGGGGTCCAGTGCACGACCCTGCACGGTAGCTGCCCCCGACCCTCCGGCCAGCCAGCAGCCAGCAAGACGCGAGGCACAGGCTGAGGCCGCCCCCAGCTGTGAGCTCCAGGCTGCCAGACCTCAGCTGCCTCCCGACCTCGTGCCCCAGGCGCCCTCCTCCCCATTCCGAATCCACAAGGTGCGGACCTCAGAGCTGAAGTCCTTCACGCGCATGCTTGGAGGCGACTCCGGGGGCTCCTCCAGTGCCGAAGAGGACCTGCTGGCTGCGGGAGCAGCGGGGGCAGTGGCACAGGCCCTCACCAAGCCAGACATGGCCTCCGATTCCGAGGACGCCAGTGAAGTCCCTGAGTGGCTCAGGGAGGGAGAGTATGTCACTGTGGGCACCAACAAAATGGGCATCGTGCGGTACGTTGGGCCAACCGACTTCCAGGAGGGCACGTGGATTGGTGTGGAGCTGGACCTGCCATCAGGTGAGTGGGGCCAGGCCATAGCCGCCACTCCACTGCCTCCTTTGGTTTGGTGGGAGGCTGCCCTCTGCAGAGGCTGGGGGTCTCTGTTCTCTCTGAACTTGTGTGTGTGTGTGTGTGTTTTTGTTTTGTTTTTGTTTTTTTTGACAGAGTGGAGAGTGAGAGAGAAAAAGGTCTTCCTTTTTGCTGTTGGTTCACCCTCCAATGGCTGCCATGGCTGGCGCACTGCGGCCAGCGCACCACGCTGATCCGAAGCCAGGAGCCAGGTACTTATCCTGGTCTCCCATGCGGGTGCAGGGCCCAAGGACCTGGGCCATCCTCCACTGCACTCCCTGGCCACAGCAGAGAACTGGCCTGGAAGAGGGGCAACCGGGACAGAATCCGGCGCCCCAACCTGGACTAGAACCCGGTGTGCTGGCGCCACAAGGCGGAGGATTAGCCTAGTGAGCCACGGTGCTGGCCTGAACTTTTTCAACATTTGCAATTTCCCCAAATTTCTCAGAAACCCACGATAGTCATTGAAAGGTACTCTGCATTTGGGAATTTAATACCCTTTAATTCACAGAAGCGTCTGCGTTTGAAATAGGACAGTAGCGCTGTCTGACTTGTTTGCCTGGGTTACACACGTGCCGGTCATTTCCAGCTGCAGTTCCTGTAAGTTCTACAGGACATCCAGGCTTCTCTGCACCTGGGCTGAGTCTCCCCAGAAGAGGTGAAAGAACTGTGGCACGGTCTTCAGGCTCATTACAGAAGGATCCGAAAAACTGAGGGGCAGGACTGAAGGAAGAAATTTGTCTTTTGGAAAGATCCCTCCACCCCTGGCAAAAAGCAGCGAGAAATCTTCCATTCAGTGGTTCACTCCCCAGATGGCCTCAACAGCTGGGGCTGGACCAAGCTGAAGCCAGCAGCTTGGCCCTCCATCTGGGTCTCACGGGGATGGTAGGCGACAGAGACATTTGAGCCATCATTTGCTGCCTTCTAGAATGTATTAGCAGGGAGCTGGGTCAAAAGTGGAGCAGCCAGGACTCAAGCTGGCACCCATTTGGGATGCCAGTGTCACAGGCTGTGCCTTTACCTGCTACACCTCAGTGCCAGCCCTATTACTGGTTTTTTAAATAGCTTAATTGCCATGTAATTTATACACCATAAAATCTACCCATTACTGTCAAGTAGTAGTACAGAGTGTGCAGCCTTTACCATAACCGGATTTTAGAATATTTATCACCCCAGAAAGTCTCCACCTGCCCTTAGCAGCCACTCCCCTCCCCCAGCCCTCGATTACTAACCAGCTTTTTGTCTCTCTCAATATATATGAACTGTCATACTGTGACTCCATGTCAGTGGGTACAGGCATTGTGTGGCCTTCTGTCTGGCTCCTTTCCCTCAGCATAGTGTTGCCATGTTGAGGCCTTGTCAACACTGCATTACTTTTTTTTTTTTTCTGACAGAGTGGACAGTGAGAGAGAGAGAGACAGAGAGAAAGGTCTTCCTTTGCCGTTGGTTCACCCTCCAATGGCCGCTGCGGCCGGCGCGCTGCGCTGATTCGAAGCCAGGAGCCAGGTGCTTCCTCCTGATCTCCTATTCGGGTGCAGGACCCAAGCACTTGGGCCATCCTCCACTGCCTTCCCTGGCCACAGCAGAGGGCTGGCCTGGAAGAGGGGCAACCGGGACAGAATCCGGCGCCCCGACCGGGACTAGAACCCCGGGTGCCAGCGCCGCAGGCGGAGGATTAGCCTAGTGAGTCGCAGCGCTGGCCTGCATTACTTTTTAAGGCTGAATAATATTCCACGTATGGACAGACCATAGTTTGCTCAGCCATTTGCCCGTGATGGACAGTTAGTGTGCTCATTTCCACTGTTGGGTGGAGCTTTTGCTGGGGACATGGTCTCATTTCTCTTCCGTTGCTACCTGGGCAGTAGCTCAGCATGTGGCTACCATGGTGAGGACTGCCAGACTGTTTGCAAAGCAGCTGCGTTGTGCACTCACCCACTAACAGCAGGTGAGGGTCAGAACAGCCCCTCCCCCGGTGAGGCTGGGAGCTGCAGCAGTGTGCGGCAGCTGGTGCCCGGAGCTGCTGCGGAATGGGGAGACGGCAGTCAGGTATGACGAGGGGCTCTCTGCCTCTGGTCAGAAGAGGGAGGGAGGGAGGGAGGGGAAGCGCTGTGTGGTGTCTGCAGACCAGAGGCAGCTGGAGGCTGCCTGGAGGCCGTGCAAGTTCCAGGTCGCAGCCGCCCCCAGAGTGTGTCCACATGCGCCCTGTTCGGCGTGATTATGAGGGGTCTGGGTGTGATATAGTGGGTTAGCGCACCACCTGCAACCCCGACATCCCATTTGGGCGCCACTTTGAGTCCTAGCTGCAATACTTCTAACCCAGCTCCTGCCAAAGGCCTAGGAAAACAGCAGAAGATGGCCCAAGTGTGTGGGCCCCTGCCACCCTGGTGGGAGACCTGGATGGAGTTCCTGGCTTTGGCTTGGCCCAGCCCTGGCTGCATGGATATTTGGGGAGTGAACCAGTGGATGGACAATCTCTCTCTCCCTCTCTCTCTGTTCCCTTCTAATAAATGAATACATATTAAAAAAAATAAAAAAGTGACTATGATTGAGCACCACCGCACGTGAGAGAAAGTCCCTTCAGTCATTTCCTGGACCCTGAGTCTGCTGAGCTGCTTGTGGGGTGGGGTGAGGCTGGCTCTGTCCAAGCCCAGCCGTGGGGTCTGAACCTTGCAAACCCACGGCAGCTTCTGGGCCGCTGCACAGGCCCGTCCCTGGCTGTAGAGACCATGCTGACAGCGACACCTTTGTGTCTGGGCCCGTGAGCTTTGCTGTGAAGTCGCTCTGTGTTTTTACAAATAATCTGGCAGAGAATCACTTGAATTGGAAGTGATTCTAGAAGCTTTTGAATCAGGCTGAGAAATATTTTTAAACCTGTTTCTCCTGAAATGCAGAGGAGAATTCAGGAGTGTGTATTTGCAGTTGGATTTAAGAATTAAGAGGGGCTTAGAAAATAATTCATCCAGTAAACACTAATGAAGCACCTACTGTGTTCCAGGCACTGTTCTAGGTTCTAAATACCTTAGTGGTGGAGATCAAGTCCCTAAATTTTATTTATCTTATTTTAGAGGGGAAAAAGTACTAAAGAAACAAACAAAACTTTGATAGTAATAAATGGTATAAAAGTACATTGGGGTAAGGGTTTAGAAGATGGTAGGTGTTCATTATAACGTCCCGGTAAACCAAGGCAGGGATGACATGAAGGAGGAAGTGGGGAAGGCAATGGGGCTGGGCCCAGGGTCAGGCGGGCTCAGGGCTCCTCAGGGGTCGAGCCTGAGGCAGGGCGGGCTTGGCGCATTTGACAGCGGAAAGGGCAGGCCGTGAAGCCCCAGGTCCGTGGTGGCCAGGTCACTGAAGATGTGATGTGGGGAAGCATTAGAGGTTTTAAAAAGATCGCTTTTGGACAGTGGCCTTCGGGGGAGAGTGGAAAGGGGAAGCTGCCTGGGTGGCGTGGAGCTGTACCGGCCTGAACTGCTGGGGCTCACCCTTGTGGCAGTGGGGGTGTGAGCAGAGTGGCTGTGTCGCCAAGGAGGTGGGGAGGCCCCTGGGCAGCGCATGCGCGCTCTCAGGTGAATCTGAGGTGCAGGTCTGTGTGCTAGTGGAGAAGGAGACACACGTGAGGGCCACGTGGGGGCCACGTGGGGCTGGGTCAGCGTCAGAGATGTCTCCAGGCCCTCAGCAGCCTGTGTGGCTGGACAGCGGCTGATGTGCACGCTGGGTTTGAGACTGGACAAGACAGAGCCCAGGAGGTGGATGGGAAATGGGAATGTGTCCCCAGAACAAGGGATGACAGTGTCCAGAAGAAATGAGGGCGAGGCTTCGCTGGCCCGAGTGCCGTTGGTGGAGCGGCCGGGCCTGTCGGGAGGGAGGTGGAGAAGCAGGGAGGTTGATAGGGGGTTCGCTGTGTAGGAGACCCCGAGCTGAGCCTGCTCCCCGTCTCCCGGCGGCCGTGGTATTGGGTGGTCCCTTTGTTAAGTCCCTGCGTGCCACCCTCTCGGTGACCTCCGGAGTTCCTGTGTGCATTTACAAGGGGTGCTCAACTTCCATCTGCATGCGCCAGCATAGCGCCTGACTTGCTGTCCTGGGCCAGTTTGGCTAGTTTCCCCTGTTTCAGGGAAAAATATCATTCCACCAAGGCCATCCTGCCTAGACTGCAGTTTGATCATTTGGGTGGAAAACGGTCTCTGCCCACTGGATGGGGCGAGGCGCCAGCTGTGCTTCGGTCTGTCTCTCCCCAGGGCAGGACCTTCCAACACCTTGTCACAGGGCCAGGGGGCATCCCTCCCTGGTGACCACTGCCCGCTGCCCTGGGCAACAGTCACCCTGTGCTTGGCCCGGGAGCTGCCTGGACGGGGCCTTTAATGGGGCAGTGGCACAGAGGCGGCAGTGTGGGAGGCGTGGTATCTTCAGGGAGGAGGTGACAAGTCAGAAGTGCAGGACACCCCTCCACATTTCCTCCCTCTTCCTCTGCAGGAAAGAATGACGGCTCCATTGGAGGGAAGCAGTACTTCAAGTGCAACCCTGGCTACGGTCTGCTGGTGAGGCCCAGCCGGGTCCGCAGGGTCCCGAGCACTGGGCGGCGGCGCAGTGCGGGGCTCCGGCCGCAGGGTGCCCCCGAGGCCCGCCGAAGCGCCACCCTCTCAGGCTCTGCCACCAACCTGGCCTCTCTGACGGCAGCCTTGGCCAAGGCCGACAGGAGCCACAGGAACCCCGAGAACCGGAAATCCTGGGCTAGCTGAGCTGTGGCCTCCCTGTGAACAGGAGCTGGGGAGCCGGCCCCTGGAGCCCTTCTGGTGATGGCCCGCTGGGGAGGTGGGGGCTGGCTGGGCCGCAGGGTGGGGAGGCTTTTTGCACATGCAGGGCTGGTGGCCTCCCCAGCCTCTCTGGAACTCTCCAGTGTCTTTTCCTCCTGCACTTGGAAGATGAGGCACTGCAGCTTGCGCCCCTTCAGGTATATGTGGAAGGTTCTGGGAGCCCCAGGGGATTGTGGGCCTGTGGGCTGAGGTCCTAGGGGCACACAGGCCCTGCTGGGCCATCTCCCTGCCTGCCTGTACCTGGGGCTTCCCCACTAGGGCTTTTGTGCCCTTTGCTTTTTTGGAGTCTGGTGACCCCATTCATGTCTTAATTTAAGCAATAATCCGAACTAGTGCCTTTCCTGTCCTGGAGGGCTTCCTCCCTCTGCCTGGAGGGCTGGCGCCAACACCTCCACCCAGCAGTGGAGAAGCCTGGAACCGTTCGGCTCAGGCCAGCCCTTTGTTGTGTGGCGAGGTTTCAGCGCCTCGGCTCCCCGAGCCTGACGGCCCCGGCCCTGCTTCCTCCTGCCCTTGTCCTGTAAGCCCCCCAGGCCCCCCAGCCGGAAGTGCCTCTGCTTGGCCCCCAAGGCTCCTTCCAAGGGCCCAGTGTGCTCCAGGCAGGGCTGTGGCCAGAGCTCACCCTCTTGTCCCGCTTGTCAGTAGGACGTCTTGGGTTTCTTTGTGGGTTTCAGTGTCCCTACACCTGGAAAGTCTTTTCTGTTTGCCGTTTAGTCCCTTAACAGAATGCCTGGAACATATTTATTTCTATTTATTTTCACCCGACCCGAACTCCTTCGCGAGCCACAATCGGCAGGTGTGGCCGCCCCGGGGCCTGCCTCCGCCTCGCTGGCTGGTCTGAGCCTCTGGGAGCTGCCAGCCTCCTGCCTTGGCAGGGGCCCCTGCAGGCGGCCTGGGGCTGCGGCCCCTTCCCAGTGCCCCTGCACGGCGGCTTCACCGGGCCCTTCTCCGATGAAGAGGACGACAGAGACTTCTTGCAGAATTACGTTCGTGCTTCTGTGGGCACTGACTGGACTGGGGGAGTCCGGGGTGTTGGCTGCCGTATTGGCTGCACTTTGGTTTCTGAGGGGGTCCTTAGGCCGGTTGGCCGGTCCTGTGCCATGCGGGTCAGTGGCCCTTGCTGGGACACTGTCATTCCTGGAGCCCTGGGGCCAGGTTTGGGGGCCAGGGCGGTGTTGGCAAGAGGGTGGACTGGTCAAGTGCCGTGGCCTCACAGCTCGGGTCACGGTGTGCCTTGGGCTCCACGGGCGGGCAGCCTGTCGTTAGCGCTCGCCCCAGACTCGAACACCGGGAGCGTTTGTGGAGGACTCTGGGGGGCTCAGAATGCCACAGCTGCCGCAGCTCTGGAGGCAGGGATGCCCTGCCTGGTTTCAGTCATGAACCCAGTGCTCCAAGATGGCCAGCTCCAGGGGGAGGCCGGCCTGCGGTGGCCAAAGGACAGAGTGGTCTCTGGCAGGGGCTCCAGGCCGTCCTGCCCTGGGCCTACATGGTACCCCTGGCCCGGGGGCAGGCGTCTGGGGCCGTGGGAGCACCTGCCAGGGAGACCCTGCCTGCTTCTGGGGGGCCGCCTGGAGGCAGGAGCGTCAGCTGGCCCTGGGGGAGACACCTGCTGGGCTTCTGGCGCTGAATGAAGCGCGTCATTTCCGCTCTGCTTTTTCTACTAAAGCTGCTGCTCGGCGGGGACGTGCTCCACAGGTGCTTCGGGTGGGATTTTGTCCACGTCCGCCAGCGTCCGCGTGTGCGCTGGCCAGGGTCCCCTGCCATCCCTTTCTCAGGAGGTGAGCGGTGCCGGCCGCCCAGAGCCTGAGGGCCCCGGCCCTGCTTCCTCCCGCCCGTGTGCTGACACCGGGGCGCCTCTGCTCCCACCCAGGGCCGGTGCCTGCTGTGTGCGAGGCTCGCTGCCCCACAGAGAGGCCCCTCTGCTGCCAGGCGCAGTGCCCTGCCTGGCCAGGGCGCTCCTGGACGTGGAGCCTCGGCCTCGTTCGTGGCTGTTAGGAGGAGAAGCCCGTGGCCTGCCCTGGATTGCGCAAGGCCAACCTGGCCACCCTGGTCTCCCTGGGAGATCTGACCGTACAGCATCCCTGAGATCTGTCAGCCCTGTCCCGGGAAGGCCCTGAGCGCCTCTGTGACAGGAACCTGGCCGAGGTGGGCGGGTTCAGTGCCCCTGCCCCGCTGCCCTGCACGGCCCCTTCAGGCTGGAGAGAGGGAGCTGCTCACAGCGTCACTGCTGCCGTCCGCTCCGCCTTTGATTCCTTGCTCTTGCTTTTTGGTGCAGACTGACAACGACAAAGCAATGACACGGTCACCCTTGCCCACAGTCCCCCAGCCCCAGGGCCCAGCGGTTCCTGGGGAGGTGTGGCTTCCAGAGTAGTGTGTGAGGGATGGCAGGAGGTGAGGCGGGCGGCTCTGGGCCCTCAGTCTGCCCGTCACCTCTCCGGGCAGACCGATGGAAAGCAGCAGCTTTGGGGTTCTGGGCGCCGTTCCAAGCAGGTCCCAGGCTCTGCTCAGGCACAGTACCAGGCGTGTGGTCAGTGTGTGCCTGCCAGTAGGGCCACCTAGGTCAGGACAGGTCACAGCCAGCCTGCCAGGCCTCTGCCTCCCACCGTGCACACCCTGGGCTGGCAGTGCCCCTCGTGGCCCCTCCCACATGGCTGCAGGCCATGCCCACCCTTGGCAGCTGTGCAGGCAGTGAAGTGCGGGCGGTGGGTGTGTCAGCAGCGTAGCGGAGAGCTGGAGGGCCTGGGGGAGGAGGGTGGGGCATTTCTGGGCCACCAGTAGAGCCTAGTGAGAGAATTGGGCCAAGAACGGGAGCACTCGAGGCAGAACGGCTTAGCAGGGTTTTAGATCCCCACGTGAATCCCCGCATTTTCTCCCTGGGCTTCACAAGGACGAGAAGTTCCTGGGTATGTGTGTTCCTTGCTGAGACTCGCCCTGCTTGCCTGTGGCCGGCCTGTGTGCACTTGTGAGGAAGCGGCAGGGGCCCCCCAGCAGGCGAGGGCCCACGGTGGTGGTCATGCCTCCCCTTGGCGCAGGACACTTGACGCAGATGGACCCAAAAGCATCTTTCTCAGAACAGTCCCTGGTGCCTTCCTGTTGGGCTGCAGACACTAATGGTGTTGGGAGAGTCTTGGATCATCCTGTGTGTGTGTGGGTATTTGTAAATATGACAGGTTCACATGTTAACAAATGACTGATTTGGGGATTATGTTGATTTGGTACACAAATGGGAGTTAAAAAATCCAAAGACTCTATGATGAATTGTAAAGAAAGATTTGTATCATATAATGAACTAAACCAGTGTAATTTTGTACTATATTTGCCCTCCCATCAAATGACCAACAGCTTCTAAATAAATTCAGATGATTTCTTGCCTATGTCTGTGGTTGGTCTCGTTTCTCCCTTCCCGGTGCCTGGGGTCTTGAACTCACCGCAGACGGTTGCCTGCTAATGGCATGGCCTTGTTCTTGGTGGTGGTGGTGGGACTCCTCCAGATGAGAATGGAAAGAGGTGGGTCCGGGTCTCGGCAGCAGGCCCCAGGGCCCTCGCCTCGCAGCCTTGCCCACGAAGTGCTTGGCTGCTCAGGATTTGGACAGAGAACCCAGAGAGGCCTGCTGGTTCCATGAGCATTGTTGCCTTCCTTAGAAGGCTCCCCTCAGAATCCAGGGATCAATAGACACTTGGCGGGGGCCTTGAACAAGGTAACAGGAACTTCTGGGCTAGCCAGGGGAAGGTGGCAGAGAAGGACCATCCCAGCTCCATTGTCCACCTGGACTTGTCCTCCCCCAAAACTGGGAGTGGAGAACTCCTTCCATTAACTGCAAAGGTGGGTGGACCCTGGCAGGCTTTGGGGCAAGGTGTTTTGGGAGGGGAGGATTGGGGCTGTAGCTGGCTGGCCAGGCTGGGCGGAATTTGGGTAAACTTGCCCTTCACTGCGTGTTCTGGTTTCAGTAGGATTTGTCTTCTGGACTCTTGTGACCCCGAAGTCATGAGTTAATGGTGTACAGAGGTGGAAATTGATACCATTGTGATGAAGTGGAGCCTAGTGAGAGGGCCTGAGGTCATTGGGGCATCCTGCTGGAAGGTAGTTCTGGCAAGAGGGTTGGTCCTGGAGGCGGGAGGCGGGCCCAGCCACTCTGTCTGCTTCCTGGCTCACCCTGTGATCTTTCCTCCACACCTGTTCTGCCAATGCCATTCTCAGGCCTCACCAGAAAGACACCCAGCCAATGGGACTGCCTGATTCCGAAATGGAGCCTCCAAAACCCACAACTTAAGTCAACCTGTGTTCCTAAGTAGTTTCTTTCTGGGACTTCATGACTGTATTGTGATAAAAGCTGATAATATACTGAGCCCTGCTTGCCAGTGATGCCAGCTTCCTGTAGACATCCTGTCCAGCCTGTGCCCAGCATGGGTCTGGAACACTAGTGTAGATGGTGGAGCTCGGCTCTGAGCAGGGGAAGAAGACCAGGCCCCCTTTGATAGGCTGTGGAATCCCAGCCCAGCCCCAGCGAGGGAGGTGATGGCCCTTGCACCCGTGCTTTACTTGGCCCGTCTGATACAGAATATTCTCAGCAGTGTACGGCCACAGCCACGCGGAGGTCTGCTGAGAGGCGGCCGGCATTCAGAGCACATCTCAGCAGGACTTGTTTATATTCATAAGTGCAGAAGAATTGTTCTCGGAGATGAGCACTGCCAAGTAATGACAGAAATCTGGCAGCCAGGAGCTGCCCTGCTCTGACTGAGGCAGGCATCTGAATGTAGAATTGATCTAGCTTGGAGGATAAATCCTACTTTTCCAGCTGCTGCTACTCTTGCAGCTCAATGAGGATGCCTTTCTGTAGCTCAGACCCTGAAATGGGCTTTAGGTCATTCTTTCGAGTCCCTCAGCAAACCATTTGTGCCTGTCCTGTGCCTCGCCTTGTGGCGCATAGTCTAGTAGAAACAAACTTTCCTGCTAGGATCCACGTAGGGGGACCCTGGAGTGCAGGCTTCAGTCAAGGGAGATACCAGGCCGTGAGGTGCAGACGGAGGACGGTTGGGTGGGCTGTGGGACTGAAGTCTTGAGGCTTCTGCCTAAGCAGAAACGTAAGTTTGGGGACCAATCCTGGAAGAGTACTGGGTTGGGGAATGGTCCTCGGTATTGGCCTCTGCCCCCATCTCCACTCCTGTTCACCTCCGTGTGGCAACATCAAAACAGTTCAAGAGCAGCTTAATATTTTGTAGTCATTTCTAACTATGTATACTGAGAAAAAACAGATCTTTTACTTTGGTTTTCTCAGGGGAGGGGGCAAGTCAGTGGATTCCAGGGTCTACTGACATGAGAGGGAAGCCTCAGCACTTGGTCCTTGAATCTTAAAGATTTGATCCCAAGCCATCAGAGCATTTGCCCTGGCATTCAAGACACCTGCACCCCCTATTAGATGCCTGGGTTTTCCCAAGTCCAGCTTCCCGCTACTGTGTACCTGGGAGGTAAGTGGTGATGGCTTTAGTCATTGGGTCCCTGCCCCCGAAGTGGGACACCAGGACTGAGTTCCTGCTCCAGCTGTTGTGGGAACGTGGGAATGAACCCGTGCATGGGAGATCTCTGTTTCTCAAATAAGAATTTAAAGAAAGCCAAAAAAACTTCAACTTTTAAAAACTTGTTTTCCACTGCTATAGGCAAAGCCCCAGGAGACCACACTCTTTTAAGAAGATGGGGCTGAGGGTGCGGCTACAGTGGTAAAGTACAGGCACACAGAACGAACTACCCAGCAGGAAATGTCGAAAGGCTGTTATGTATTCCAAATGGGTGGGGATGCTGTTAGGATCCTAACAATTTAGGGGATGCCTGATCTTCATGTGATAGTATAGAGGGAAGATGGGAGCTAGGGCTATAAAGGAAGGCTGGGGAGGCTTGTGCTACAGCAAGGGAAGGTATAGTTTGGGGTCTTGAGAGCTCCCACAGCCTGTCATGGTGTTGGAAGGCTCATCAGGTGGACACACACAGCACAGGTTGGAGGGCTGGGAAGTGAATGAGTGAAGGAGGCTTTCGTGAGCTCAGAATTCCCTCTTTTAACCAGTCATGCTTAATTGTCAGCATCATACTCTTTAGGCTCCTTGGGTCTCTGGGCTCCCCAGTCCTTTTGAAAAACCAAAGGGACTGATGTTGAGAGCATGCTTCCATGGCGGACCATTTGGCATAGCCATTGGGGATGCCTGCATCCCATATAGGAGTGCTTGGGTTCGAGTACTGGCTCAGCTTCTGATTCTGGCTTCTTGCTATTGCCACCCTGGGAGGCAACAGGGTACTGAAGAATTTGGGTTCCTGCCACTCTTGGCATTAGCTGGCCCAGCTCTGGCTGTTGTAGGCTTTTGGGGAGTGAACCAGTGGATAGAAGATCTTTGTCTGTATGTCTGTCTCTTACTGTCTCAGCCTTTCCAATAAAATGAAACTAAAATTTAAAACGACCCACTCCCTTTCAGGCCTTCCTTTGTCAGTGGTTAGGCACTTCCAAGTGACTGTTCTGATCCAAAGAAATCCCAATCAGCCTTTGTTCAGTTATACATTTTATTCTCTAATAGGTACAATACTAAAATAAACACAAATTAAAAAAAAGTTTTATTAAAACAAAACTGTACAAAAAAGCAGTATACTACATTTTTAATTACAGAACAGTCTACTGTCCAAAAGGCACTAATCCAGAATAGGAGATACAATGATACAGGACTCATTTGAACTATTTTAATCAATACAATAGAGCGCTTGTTTCTTTGACCACTTACATCTAGAAACAAGAGCTTTTTGCTACAGTCATTACACATTGTTATAAATATGAGTCCTACAGGTGAAGGTGCAGTATCCCTCTCCCTAGAAAAGGTTCACATCAAGAGGGACCACTAGTGGGGCTGAGAGGTGGGTGGGCAGCACTGGGGCAAGGCTGTTGGCCACTGGGCACCTGGAGCTCGTCTTTCAGCCTGGCCTCTGATGGTTGGTTTCAGCCATTACTGGCAGCCATTTTAACCCCCTCACGTGTTTTAGCACCAGCAAAATGGGTTCTGAGATGCTCCAGGTAACTGGGGCTGGAGGTCTGGGTGAGGAAGCATCAGCAGCTCAGCAGAGGGGAGGCATTTTGGTAACCTGATCTGAAGAAAAAAAAAAAAAAAGGCAGCAACTACTCTCAAGAGGGAGCCAGAACCTAGGACAGCCAATCAACTGGAGCCTACAGTCAGGGAGATCCACTTGCTGCTTTCTGGGTAGACTTTGGACCTAGAAATATGAGGGTCCTATTCCCAAGTTCAGAGACACCTTTCCTGTATTCCCTCTGGACCCAGTGGAGAGTCTGCAATTGAGGGATCTGATAATCTTTTGTTTTTGAAGGTGATTTCTGGAAGTGAGAAGAGTCAGAATGCAGCAAGTGGCCTGGAGTAGGTAATTTTCTGTCTCTGGTCCCAGCTCGGAACTGTGAGCAGCTCCTGGGTCAGCCGTGTGGCCTGGCGAGAGCGGAGCTCTGCTCACTTACCCCTGCTGGGTGGACAAGTTAGCTCTCTAGACCCCGGATTTCATTCTTTAATGGCCTCTGGACCTAAGGAAGAGAGATACTGCAGCTTTCCAAACAGTGTCAAACACATGTAAGACGAAGACAGGCATCTGATGTTAACAAAAATAAGTAACAAAGAAATAGGATTAAACCAAATCTCTTCTCACAGCATCCTATACTACATCCTCCTTCTGCTTAGCAGAAAATTGTACGTACACAAAAATACAAATACACAATTTTGTAGAACAGTCTGATTTTAATATATTTATATATATTTATATTTATACGAGTGGCAGGTTAGTTCATTATATAGAGCTTTTTGCACTTTTGGCTCATATGCAACAAGGCTTATAAATTCAGCTTTAGCTTTCATTCAGGTTTTTATAGCTTTTGAACAATTGTTTTCACATTTAAAGCAGCATCCAATTTGCACTAGGAGTTTGTGGTGATTACAGGAAAGATGGGGTCAGGAGGTTATTGGGGGTGGGGCAGAGGAAGATCTACATTCCAGTGTGTGTGGCAATGTAAGGAGGATTCCATGTGGACAGAGTTCACCATGATGACCCCTTGAGGTAGACTGAACACCTTACAGCAGACTCAGACACAGGTGTGACTCACCCTCAGGGACACATGGTGCACAAGATGGGGACAGACCAGAGGAGACGCCAAAGGAAAAGACAAAGACTGAGACACACAATGGCCAAGACAGGGAGGGGGATCTCCCCACTCCTGCTCCCCCCAATCTGGCAGGGATCCCGCACAGCCCATCTTAGCTACTCGACTATTTGGTGGATGCTAAATACTTCTAGGCAATCCCCCGGCATCTGGTCCATGTATCTGATCCAATTACGCCTGTTCAACATGCTTCAGAGCTTGCTGCGCCAGCCTGTTCCCACCCCTATAGTGAACAGTAAAACAAAGCTGCACGTTGTCTGGAAGTGGAGATCACTCCCCAGCACTCCGCTTTTGCTAGAGTGTTCATGTTCAAGTCCAGCTAAGTGAAAAGAAACTGGGATTCTCCTGCTGCCTCTAACTGCATTTCACTGCTGTCCTCCCCGGCCCGGGGCACTCTTACGTTGCCCATTCTCAGTTACGGCCAGGGTAACTGACGAGCACTCGGTAGAACCTGTGAAAAACAGCATCTGGAGGACTGGGTGACAGCATCCCGCCAGAGAGCCCAGTTTGGTTTATCTGCTCCAGAAAAGCCTTATTTTCATTCTTGCCACAGCAATATTTTCCCATTCGATCACCTTCATCAACCACCTTCTCTTCTCTATCCCAGTCAGAATTCCACCAGCAAATGTGCCTACACATGTCCAGCGTGAATGCCCAGTGCTTGGGTTATTACATTGTCTGAACAAAAACGCTAGATTATTAGTGAAAATAAAGTGCCTGGGCATGGATTGTTCCATTTTACAAAACCTGGCAAATCTGAGCGCTACTTGGTGATGAGATCTGAACAGAGTGCAGTCTCAAAATAAACCTGTTGTACACCCACCACACAGGAAAGGCCCCATATTTAGGTCAGACTTAAATTACTTTCAAAAAGAAGCAAACAATGTCGCACTCATCTTCAAAGAAGCATGTTTGTTCTTGCTCTCCCAACGGCAGCCTTTCCAAGTCCTTGTGAGTGGACACCCTGGTCCCTCTAACCTAGGAAGAGGACAAGAGGCAGCCAGAGTCCAGTGACTCATCATAAATGAGTCAGCAGGTTTATCAACTATGATTATTTGACACTTTGCCCTTTTGCATGTTACAGACAGAATTCTACTCTGAGCTCTTGTTCTCCTGTCGTCTTCAGACTGACTTTGCTAAGCAGACTCCTTAAAATTCCCTATGAACCCAGACTATGACCACACCAACAGAAACACCCCTAGAAACACAAGAAACGGTGACAAAGCCAGCCTTATGTGGCCATGAAGAGATCTCTCCCACTTGCTTGCCCTTGAAGTTGTTCTGCCTGCAGAACGCCAGGGACACTGGAGAGGGGCAGCCACCCTGTGCTCATCCCCAGTGCCAAGTGCAGGGTGGGGAAGGACAGGGGACAGGGCACAGGCCGATCTCTGGTGGATTCCAGAGGTCTTAACTTGCTTAGGCACTTAAAAAACATAAATAAGAATTTATCCTGGAAAGGTACTGCATACCCAACATGACCATGGTGTGGAAGGGTGAGCCCAAGGGGAAATCAAGAGAAGGCTGTGGGCTCTTCCAGGGGAGGCAACTACAATGCTCTTGGCATCTTCTGGCAGGGAGGGCAGCCTACTTGGCAGTCAGGGTGCGTGTGAAGCCAGTGCTGTATGTGATAAATCAGGGTGCAGGGACCCTGGCTCAGCAAAGCCTCTCCATGTCCATGCTGAAGCCATGGCAGAGATGGCCTGGGCCAGTGAAGGTTGGGGAAGCCGCTCGGGCTGCTCTGGGTGCCTGCCACAGGGCCTGGGAAGGCTCAGGCCACGCTGAATTGCTCTCTAGGGTCAATGTCAAGAGACCAGTAGGAAGAAAGGCCCTTCCGAGGGGGGTCTGGCAAAACCAAAGGACATGAGGATAAGGCCTGCCAGAGCTTCCATGCTTGGAAAGAAAAAGCATTGCTACCCCATCCTGAAGGACTCTGGTTTTGGTTTTGCGGTGCCCATTTTCAGAGAGAAACAATTAAGGACTTCACGGATTCTAACGTAGTGAAATGTGGTTTCAAGGCAAAGAACACTAATGCTTCTCAAAAGCAGTGCACACAGAGCTCTCGCTCACCTTCATTCAGCCCACGCTAGATGTGTGCACTTGCTCCTGCCCCCTAGGAATCTGGCATAAACACAGGAGTTCAATGTAACAGCACCAGAGTGGCTGCTGTTTACATTAATACAGCACTAATATCATTCTGTTTTCCAGTTTAAGAGCTTCAGTGAATGATGAAGTGAAAAATGATCCTTCACAAGTTTATGCTAGGTTCTTAGTGCCAGTAAAGCGCAAAAAAAATAAATAAATAAAAATAAAAAAATTTCCATGCTTATAGGAAGCCACAAAACAAGACTGAAATTTAGACTTCACTCCAAAGTGATGGGATGTTGAAAATGTACTGAAAGAAGTAATAAACCATGAAACGCTAGTTCTGAGACCTGTCTCTGCCACAAATGCCAGCGTGTGAGATTCTTCCTTGCTAAGGAGGAATCAGACAGTGTCCATGTTCCAACATTTCAGTGGTACTCCAATCCCCACCAGAGATGCAAAATATGGACTATTACCAAAGTGGAAGGCACACATACATTTTCACCTTCAAATAGGTTCTTCTTTTTATGGGAGGGGGTTAGATAATAAAAACTCTGTTAGCCAGCAAATATAAATGTGTTGTTATGGGGACCGTCAACCTGACACTCAACCACTCTATAGCTGTAATCTGTTCTGAGGTGTTTTTCATTCTCTTGGGCTTCAAAGTTGCCTATGACATGACAGAGCAGATCAGGAGAGACAGACAATGATGGAACTGATATCTGGAGACCTATTTTTGAGGGAAAGAGCTAGAAAATGGGGAAGGGGAGAAACACAGAACTTTAGTTAGCTAGCTGAGTCCTCAGGGCACTTGTAGCTGGTGTCCGTTGTTCAGCATCCCCAAGCAACCATCAGTGAGCCTCCACATGAACCATGGCAGGACAGGAAACAGGTCTGTATCCCAAGGGAGCTCGCCCCTTTGCTGCATTCTTGGCCTGAGCTCTAACCTGTACTTGTCTCTATGCAACTGCTACTTGCCAGTTAAAGCTCATGGGGAGCTAGGGAGTGCCTAAGGCAGTGCAGACACTAGGACAATATGAGGAAACGGTGATTTCTACAATGCCTGTGCCCTCTGAATGTGGCTGTGGTAGAGGGAAGGACAGGATGCATGGGCTGGCTGAGCACACCTCTAAACACAGCAGGACGCCTAGTAGTAACAGGCTCTAAGGAAGTGCTACAAGAGCCAGAGGGAAGATGAGAAGTGTGAGCGATGTTCAGATTCTGTCTTCACTAACTGCCCACAAATCCCAGCTCCCTGTGGCACTCAGAGGTAAGACAGCCACATATATTTTTTCCACTTCCCAACACAGCTACAGCGACTGTTTCTGTCACCATTGCTGACCATGGAGGAAGACCCAAGGGCAGTGCTATGGAAGAAGTCCAGGTTGTGGTGTCTAGGTCCTCATCAAGGTTTGTCCAGTTTCAGTGGGAACTCAGGTCATTGAGATGACGGCAATGTGAAAGTCTATCTGTGGGGTTATCCAGTGCCATCCCTTGAGAAAATAAAATGGGTTACTAGTCGGTGACTTTACTAGTCGAGTGGCCTGTGCTCTGATTAACATCCTCGTAAGATGAAAGCAGCAACCAGTGTGCTGCAGCTGAAGTGGTGCTGCTCAAGGGGGGGCTCGTGCCCAGTGCCCAGCAGGGTACAAGCTTCCTAAATGTCACCTGCAATCTTAGGCTCAGAGAGCTAGGAGGGCTGTGTGTGTTTGTCTCCTGCAGTACGACTGAGAACGCTGGTATCTCTACTTCGGATTCTTTCAGGAGTGACTGACTGCTGATGTTTTCTTCCAAAAGTATTTCTTGAGTCAGTACTACCTGTAATTTCACTACTTTTGGCAAGTAGGTTTTTGGTTTTGCTTTTAGTTAGGTTAGGAATTTCGGAAATCAAAGTGGTCTCTGAAAACATTCAGAGAGGAAATGCCGCTCCAGCTTCACTTTGTCAGTAGCCCAGCCCCTGCGACAGCAAAGCCGCTACTTGGATTCCTGTACTAGCAGATTATGTTAGAAGGCTTTAACTACAGTGCTAATTCTATTTGCTTTTAATGTGGGCAGATAATAGGAATCTTCTGTTGGCTATTTAATGCATGTCTCACAAATCACAGAATTAGACTCATGTACTCAGTTCTCTGAAATTCTAATCTTAAGACAGATTCTAAATTCTAAGGAAGATGGTTATCTTTCAGAAGCTGAGAAAATAAGAGGAGTGCTTTACTATTCAGGTCATAAATTCAGGGTCATTGCAGTTGTCATAAGACTGATAGGATCCCAAAGGAAACAGTCTCAGTGGCTGTAGGAGTACAAGGAGTGGGTGAACATGAGGTTGATTTTAGTTCTTACAGGAGGCAAAGCACTCAGTAAAAACCTCTTACAGGATTTTTTTTTTTTTTCTTGAACTAACCAAAGCACTACCATACATTTCAATGTAGGCATTGTGGAAGGAACATAAATAAAACAAAGAATCCTAAGGCAGTAGAACCTTATGCTAAATTCTGTGTGTATCTGGGGTAGGGGGAGAAGACAATTGTAAACAAGCAGCCAACCTCAGTGTTCTCAGGAGACTGAACTATACCGAGGACTTCATCTAGGTTAGGAGTACTTCTGATATGTGGGGATTTCTTAGAAAACCAGACCTGTATTATCTTTAGTGGCTACTAATCAATCCTGTAGTATCCTGGCCTGAAGCGGGGGTGGGGGGAGGGCTGAATGATGTAGGCATATTGGGCATAACCATGAGGCTCATGGGCATGGCACAGCTGTGAAAGGCCTCTTGGCAGCTGTGTTGGGTGCTAATATTCTTGCAGTCACTCCTGACCACATAGCTAAATTAAAACTCTACTAGTGATGGGTGAAAACAGATAACCAAACAGTCATATCCAGAAGGCGGCTAGTGATTCAGCAGCTCTTATGCAATAAGATAAGAAGGATAAGAATATATGCTGGATGAGAAGGGTCAGAAACCATGTGGAGTCTCACAGCCACATGACAGCCAATGGCACAGGGTCACAGAAGTGAAGGGAGGAAATAGGAAAGGGAGAGAACAACTTAGGAGTGTCCTGACACAGCAGAACACGGCAAAATCAGGGCTAGGAAAAGAAGATAACTGATGTGAAGAGGTTGGTAATTGCTCCGTAAGTGATGTGAGAAGTTAAGGCAGACTCATATGTGTGTCCTACTGCTCCAGTAACTTGAGAACAGTGCAAAATAGAGTTTTCCATTCATGTCACAGAGGTATTGAGAGCCTGTGTGCTCTTGTCACATTGTCTGCTCTGATCTTATGGTTTAATGAGGAAAACCCTATTCAACCCTTAGTAAATTGCTGCTTGGTCAGTAATTTCTGATGATGATGGCAATGGACATATCAGGTAACCCAGTAAAAATATGGAAACTCAGGGGAGCTCAGTAAGCAGCAAATGTCTACAAGCTGGGCCAACCACACACCCTCACTGGCTGGCAAGTCAGATGGAGTGAACTGGAAGCCTTGTCAGAGGTTGACTCTGGAATTCTGAATTGGTTTCTGCCAAAGGTGGAGCAGGCTGAAATTAAGGTTTTCAAAAATGTAGAAGTCAGATGGGAAGCAATAATCTAAGGCTTCCATTTTGAAGCTGAAATAACTCTAAATCCTTTTCTTGCACTCAGGGAAGAACATGAATACCATGTCATTATTTTAGTTTACTGAGTTGCTGTTCCAAATGTTCTTGGGAGCATTAGTGCTAAAAGGGAACAGGGGACGGGAGTGCTGCTATTTTCAATCACATAAAGGACAGAAATCCTTTTAATTATGACCATGCCAATCCACATCCTGCTAAAACAGCTAATTACATGTCAGGAGGACACTCAGTCATTCAGAACAATTGCCATTATATTTTTATATATTCATTCTATGCCACCCCCCTCAATTACCATGGTTACAATTTGAAAAGATTCAGCCAAACCTTCATTTGATCACAGCACACCAATGTGAATTTGAGAGTTAATTATGGCTGTATTGAGCCACTCTTATTTAAAAGAGATAGAATATGAAAATGGAGTCAAGAGAGCTGGCATTCCAAGATTGAAGTGTGTGCTGAGCTGAGTGCTACCCACACACTGGCTATACAGAGGTGCTCAGGCACCAACTGGAGGGCAGCTAAGTAAGTTCAGATACTGCTGTCCAGACTGGAGCAAACCAACCTGAAAACTTGTCATGTAAAAACAGTATCAGGAGAGTGGCCACATTCCCTTAAAGATGTGTGTTAAGAGAGTGGCTAGGGAGATGAGGGATGTGCATGGTTAACCGTCTAATGGTATAAAAGCACTTAGCAAATTTCACTTAAATGGAATAAATTAGAATTTGTTCTGCCTGAAATATCGTATTAAGAATGATGAAAAAGAGGTTCAGGGATACCCACATTTGTAATCCAAGGCATCTGCTATGTCAAAGAAGATAAACAGGGCATAGCCCAATTTTCTCACATTATCTTCTCCCCTGTATCTTTTTCTCTCAATTAGAAAAAGAATGCGTTGTTACAAGAAACTGGATTTCTCAGATCCTTAGATTCCTTTTTACTATTTCTCATTCCTATCAAGTGGGAGAAATGAAACTAACATGGAAACTTCCCAACTTACAAACTACCAATGTTTGTTCATAGATACAAACAAAATTGCAGTTCAGAGATATGTGAGCTAACCATCAGCCCTGAAAGACGGCAAGAACAGTAGCTTATCACTGTCAACTTACAATAAAGAGAATATGAATAGCCTTTCAAAACCTAACCTGTTTATGAGAGAAGAGTTTCTGTGATATAAAACTGACTTGTTGGTTTCATGTATCTAAAAAGACTCTTACCTCTTTAGCATGTCAGTTCTCTTGAGAGTGATAAGGAATCTTTTTTCTTTGATAGTCATCATTGAAACCAAGAGTATGTAATAACAAAGGAAACCACATTACAAAAAAAAGGGGGGGGGGTGCCTTGGCTTTGACAGCATGCTACCATGAAATCCTCAGAGATAACCAGGCCATTCTTAGTTGCCTCCCTGGGAGAGCCTTCCACCCTCATTAGGGTGCAATACCTTTACACTGGATAACTAGATAACTCAGGAACTCCTAGGTAATGTTAGACAACATGGAAATGAAGAAACAGGAGGAGGGTTTTCAGGGCATGCAGCTCTGTTTGCCAAATTCAATATGGCTGACAACTGATCCCCAAATCCTGAGTAAACATCTTTGCTATTTAAAGAGCACATAAAACAAGGAATGCTTTATATGTATAATTCCCACCCCTGCCCCAGTGCATCCTCCCACCCCTTTCCCTCAAAAGATAACACCAGTGGGAGCTGGTCAACATGTCCAACTTTCACTTGGGAAATCTTGACAAGTAAATCTGGCTCAGTAAAGCTATTAATGAATTTGGCTGGTCTCAATGCAGCCCCAATGAATACAGTAGTTAAACATTACCAATAATCTTAAAAACAAAAACATGACAAAATCTATCACCACTCGTAAGATTTAAATCACAAAGATTAACACAGAAACCAGCATACAATGTAGAAGGTCAGTACTCATCAACTACAAGAAAAATTATTGCCTAAGAATCTTTTGAGACTCCTGGGGAAAAATACTGTGGTTGTTCTCCATACAATGAAAGATAAAAGCAATTGTAGAAGGCGGAGCCGTGAATGGGAAGACTGCTGCTTAAGACCAGAGAGAGTAAAGACTTGCAGTTCACATTTTTAGGATGGGGTGGGAGATCATTTGTGGAAAACTGATTTTTTTCCTACTGCTTTGGGCAGACATAATGTAAGTGATCAGTGGAATATGAAGCTGGTCAACACAGGATGGATTGTGTTCAGAGATGGGACTATACCACCTGCTTTGCCTGCTGTCAGAAGATTAAAAATTACAGCAAACAAATTAACTCTAGATCAGAACTTAGTGGTGGATCAGAGAGGAAAGTGGAAGAGGGATTGTTCATAGATGGAAAGGATGTGACTAGAGATTTCTGACTAAATGAGAGTCCATGTTTGCTGCAATTTTGTTTGATGATTGTATGCAAGAGGGAAATTTCTAACATCAGTATCTCCTAAAGTCATAGGCTAAATACGAAAAACTATCGGTGATCTCTTCATGAGTTATCATTTGAGGTAAAAATATATCTGGGTATCTGGTTGTAACACAAGTGGTGTTGAATCATAACTATCAGGAGCTAGAGGACCTGGATAGGCATACTTCAGTATTAATTAGCTGCTTCCTCACTCATGGCATTTTAGGGGGTCTCCACTATTAAGCTGGGGTATAAAGTGCCTTAAAGGGAGCTCTATGCCTTCCTATTTCTGTGAAGATACACTTAAAAGACGAGACGGTGAAGACAATTCCTTTGTGGTACTCTAATATTATAAGGTTTGATGAAATTAAAATGTCTGTTTGGTACTGAATGGTACTAGAATGTCTCAGAGTGTATTGTGTGCCGTCCCCTGGCTTTCATCTGATGTTAAAGTTATCAACAGGTAGGCAGAAATCTCATTAAGATGATCCATTTTAAAAGATCCCTATGTAAGGTATTTTAAGAAGGGTGGGAGGGGTACCCGTCTAACCACAGTAATTCCGTTAAAGTGTCTTTTAAAAATAACAAATTACAGGAATACTTGTTGGCAAGGTTGCCCCCACCCCACATTTTTCAGTCTTTAATCCCCTGAAAGAGTCCTCTGGGGCCTGAAAAAGCATATGAGGTGAGAGAAGAGGGACAGAGCAACCAAAGAGCACAGAGCACATTTTTTTTTTAAGCTGTCTATTCTCCCCCCCAGGAATAGACCAGCTTAGAGTATATGTTGTTAATACCTCCTCTAAAACCTGAAACAGTATGAGAGATTTGCCATCCAATGATATTAGAAGTCAACTAGTGGCAGCTCTATTTGCCCTTATGACAGCTAAGATAGTCTGGACAAGATAGTAGCATTGAACCTGGTGAAAAACAGGAAACTGATGGTAGATTTATATCTTGATCCCAAGGAAGTAAATTCTCTCACTTGATGAAAAAGTCAAGTTCTTTGTAAGGCAGTGGGGCCTTAAGAGCAGGCCAGCCATCTTCAATTACAAGGCGAATTACGGGTGAAAAGATTCTGTCCTCCTATTCCTACTGAACTCAGTATGATGCTATTCTTCATGATTGTAGCAGTATCCTTTCAGGTTTATTTCATTGCCAGGGAGGGCCTGGTACTGCCCCCTAGGATGCCAACTCCCGTTCATTCTCTGAAGCCTATTTTGTTCTGTAAAGGTCTTAAAACAACAAAACCTTTTAGCTTTTCTGTGGCAATCATTGTATTTCTTTAGAAACTGCAGCTGTCTCAACAGTTTGAGTCTGTTCCTTTAAAAAAACCAGCAAGAACAAATGATACTAGCAATCCCATCATAAAGAAGCTATCAATTATAATAATCTCTTTACAATAAATCATGGATGTGTCTTGTCACAGAGTATATTTTTTCTCTCCTTGTTCTTCCTGATTCAACTGAGAATAAGCAGACAAAATTCCACCAAAATGGAGAGATCAGTATGTTAAACTTCTTAGCAAAATAAAAGGAAACAACACAATTTTGTAAGTGAAGTAAAAAGTCAAATGAAACAAGAAATGATATGAATGGGGGTGGGAGAGAATCATTCCTGAGATTAACAAATGCTACTCTTGAATTTGTTGGTTCAAGCAATACAGTAAAGTAAGAGAAGACTGCCCCATTTTACTTGAAATCTTGGAAGCTACAGAAAGTACATTTCTACTTCCTGTGCCCCCCACCCCCATCCCTGAAGTCTGTGGACAAAAGCAGGACAGGCAGTGCCAATGGCTCTTATGCCCTCCCCAAAGGTTCTTCCTCACACTTACATAAGCAGGATTTACACCTTAGATGATCCTAGTCATTGTGTGCCTTAAGTGGAATAAGACCAGCTAGAACTGGAGGATATTCAGTATTTCATGAATGAGGGGGGAAAACGAAGATGTCAGTAAGTCTCTTTCTCTCAATAGTTTTGGGCTGAATACATTTGGTGAGGGAGAATGGGTGAAGAGGTAAGGAAATAGCATCTTCCTTTTATCTTAGAAATTCTTTTCAGGTAATGGACAAAAAGACAGAAACCCTGCCCTATATTCCACTTTAAGCAAGGCTTCATTATACATATAAAGGAGAGATGGAATGAGGCAGAAAATATACAGACGCACCCAATGCTGCTACATTGAAGGCTGTTTCCCCTTACCCACAGTGACAGGGTGTCATTTAATCAGGATGCCAAGAGATCATTTTCATACAAGGCCAGCAGATGTAATTTTCTTTGATGCATGAATAGTTCATCATTTTGCTACTAGATGACAAGGTGATCACAGGGTGACTTTATAACGCAAGTTCACTGTTTGGTATTTTTGAGTTCTCAAAATGAAAAAAAAGATTTATCAAATATAAATATCTTTAAAAAGTAACAAAAGTGCTACATATGTGATCAAGGAAAAAAATTCCATTACTTACTGCCGCTTAAAGTAGATTAAACTTTACAAATATTACCACATCCATTATCAATATGGCTTCCAATTATTAAATAAATTGCCTGTAGCAATATAGCTTTTCACACCTCTACAAGGACAGAGTAAAAGAGAACACCAAAGCAGTCACATTCCCCTAGTATCTCGCACCCCCTACTTTTCTTCTGCTCCTATATAGCCAAATGTTTACATCTGTGATAGTATAATTCCACTACAAAGCCCTCTATCAACCTCTTAGATTAAGGGAGCTTCAGTTAATGGATACAAAAACCATGTTCTTTACTGTTTTGACCTTCGCTCCATGCTTGAAAGACTTTTTTGGTAGCAGGGAAAGGGGACACTGACAGGAGGCCAAGCAAGGTCCATGATAACCTCTAGCACTTTTGCAGGCAGGCACTGACAACTGTGCTGCGGAATGTACAGTGGTTCTGAGAACTGGGCATATTTTAAAACATTCAGCTTGGATGTTTTCCCAATGCTCTCAAGCTGAGTTTTTCCTTTAAATGACTTTGTTTTTTGTCTTTTGTTTTTAATCATGGTCCCTAAAGGCAGAAGGCAGTATTTTATCTACTAAGTCACACAGCTTGTGAGAGGAAAGGATGTCTGTGTCAGGCATCAACCAGAATCTGAGACTGATTTTTTTCGTTGACATTCTTAGCACAGCACCCAAAGTATAATCTAGCCACGGTGTGACTATAATGAGGCACGGCTTATTGCAGCTGGAAATCCATGATTCTCGTGCTGAGGTGGAGATTCTAGTGTTCTTTTTACTCTGTGGATACTCCCGAAAGGTGTCTGTCAATCCTGTGCCACTACCTCAGCTTACATCCTATCAGTCTTGGGGAAGGAAAAGGTGGTATGGGAATAGTGTTACATGAATCTAAAGGTACCCAAGATTTTACACACAGCCTAATAGTTGAGAACTGAGGGCTATCTAAATACCTGGAAGCACTTTTTTGGAATGCTAAGACGGAGCAGCAAGATTTTCTAGCCTTGGGGGCAGGGAGAGGGAAGTTTGGTTGGTTGGTAGTTATTATTTATTGGGATTTAATACTGAGAGAGTATATGCAAAGGCTGAGGGCACCATGCCATCTTCACAGAACAAGACCCTAACGGCTACCTGACATACAAGAAACTGCAAGTTATACTGTAAGAACACATGTTAAGGACCGAGGAAAGTCTGCTAAGGTGCTACGTCTAAACTAAGTTTACTTGGCGTGTTTAACCTTCCCTGATCAGTCATCATCCAGGGCCTCTGTCTTGATTTCGTTGGCTCCTTGTCGGGCCAATGCCAAGATAGTGTGGTTGACTGCTGCCATTTCCACAGCTAATGAGATGGGGTCTTGGTGGTCACTATGGCTCGTGCTGTCATCCTGGATGTGCAGAAATAAGAAATGACTGTTATTACTAGATTGGTAAAATACTTTAGCTCACAGAAAGGCATGCTGGGACAAAGGGAAGCAGAACATTCATGGAGGAAATGGTGAGGGAGGGTCTCATGATAGGCAGAGGTGAACTGTATTTAAGTAGACACTGAATGGATATAGGTCCAGAGACTCCTAGTTGACATTTTTATGATTCAACAAATAAAAAGCACTAAAAATGTTTTTTTTTTTCTAAGAATCTTATTTATTCCATCAGAAAGATTGCTTGTGATAATGATCAAACCTGGAGTGACTGAAAACAAAAATAACACGAATGTTTGGATCTTTCTGTTTGCAACAAATATAGCACTAATCATTGAAGACCATTCTGGTGAGTCATTAAATTTCAGATTGCTACTCTAACAAAACAGATTATTAGAATTTATAGTATCTCTAATGAACTGAGGAAACTAGACAAAAACAAAAACTATAGGCATCAATATCTTGCAGATAAAAACACAATTTTGTAAAGGGAAAAAAAATTTCTGTTTCAACAAGACAAGTGTCATTGCCAGAAATGGCTATGAGAGAAAGGTGAGGAGCTCTCCTTCTGTGTAAGGGGGTTGGCAGGTGCCTTACTTAGAGGGAGTGTGAAGTTCTCCTCCCTTGAAAGGATGTGTTAAAACAATAAAGCTGTGAAGGAAACTTGCATTGCAGGATGTATGTCAGGCACTGAAGACAGTGTTACAAATAAGGGGTACATTTCTCACCTGTCACATCTTCAGGGGAACTCTGTATCAAAGAGCTTTGGAAAGGGTAAGTCCCTTGGGGAAAAAAGCATGGGATGTGCTGCCCTCAGGGCATCTGTAAAAAAAGATGGAAATGTTCCATCTATATTGGTAGACTGAAAAATAACAGGAATGTTTCCAACTAGAAAGACTTACAGAACATTCTCTTGAGTAAAAGGTGGGGCTATGGTGTAGTTTGGAGTCTTGGAAAGCGTGGGTGTTATTTCATTCCAGTTTTCACGGAAGAATCTTTACAGTTTTAAAGGGCTCAGTTTCATATCACACACACTCTCAGAGTGGCTGTGCCCAGCCAGCAGACAGGCTGTAAAGCTGTTAGGAGGCAGATACACACGGAGGACTACGGGGATGAACTACTGAGGAACAAGGAAAACTTGTAGGGAAGAGCAGATGTTTTTTGTTGGGGTCTAGGGGAAAGGACCATACATTCTTTGGATATTAAAAATGGAAAGGAAATGAAATCCTATAAAAATTTGAAGGAAATCTTAAATGGCAGGGGGAGGCTCCCATAGTCTGTCTTACTGAATTATTCCATGCAGTGGCTACAATTAAATACATTTTTCCCCAAGCAATGCAGAATAAATCAGGGCTAGGTGAGAAGACATGCAGGTATTATACTTATGAGAGGATGCATGTGTCAATGTGCCAGAGAGACTCTGGAAGAACCACTCCTGTGGGTGAGAGCTCCCCACTGCAGTGAGGCCTTCCATGGTGCCCTGCATCGGTCCATGTGTAGGCATGGGTCACAGCTGCCCAGCTGCCCCTAGTGTTTCTCAAACACTGAGTGTGTGTGGTGATGGTGCAACTTGCTTGTTTGGATCAGATCCTCCTCTCTTCTTCTACCTTCTCTGCTTCTCTGCCTCCCTCTGAACTTCTTCCCTCCTCCTCCTCCCCATTGCGTACTTGCCAAGTATCCTGTTGTATGACAATAAATCCATGTGGGTGAGTAACGATTTCTCACAAATTCAACAGGACAACTGAATCTTACCACATTCCTTTCAAATTACATGAAAAACTAACTAGACACATGAGCAGAGTGGAGGGACACCCACCCCCCTCCCCCACCCCGTATAACCACACCCATGGAACTGAGTTGTCACACTATCCCACTGCTCAGCAACCAAGTCCCTCTGTCCAGCTGCTTGCCTGCTTACCTGTTCAGAGTAGTCATTCCCATCAACATCATCACTGTTGGAATGGCCTCCTGGACTCTGTACATCGATCCCATGACTCTCCAGGATTGCTGCTTCTTCGAAAAAAGCAAATAGATCCCTAAATTATCTGTTACTTCATCCTAATGACTGAAACACGGAATGAACTTTTGTGTTGGGAAACTTGAATATAATTCAACAAGAACATATTTCTTCTAGATTTTGTTTCCTTTCAACCGCAGATGGATAAAATTCAATTGCCTGTATGTCAGGGAGGGTCCCATTTGCCATTCTGGAGTCCCTACTGCTATGCCTAGATGAGTTTGAGAGCTGTTAAATACTTCATAGAAGTTGCTAATTAAATAGCTCTCCTGTTTCAGGCTTCTGTGAAGTGTTTGAGAATTAAAATGAACAAGAAGTATCTTTTCAACAAAATGCAATTTTAGAAGTTCAAAACCAGTGTTTCTCTAAAATCAATACAAATCCCATAAATTCTTTTTGGGGGGGCAGTTTTAAATTAGAAAGCAGAATCCTTTATTCCTTTTTTAGTTGTATTCACAGTTCTCTTTATGGCAGTTTTGGCATTTTCTTTCCTCACTCCAGCATTTACAAGGTATAATTGACAAATATAAATATTTATAGTATACAATGTGATGTTTTGATCCATGCATACATCCTAGAATGATGAAATCAAGAATTCTAATTAACTGGGTGCTGTTTATCTCTGCCTTTGGCTGTTCCTTGTCTATTAAACCTCTTTCATTCAAATTCTATTAATAAGGTATTTCCTAAGTTACAGCCACATAACAAAGCAACTTGGGTATCAGATTTCCTCTCAAGACAAAGTATCCTTAATATGCACTACAGGAGTAATCAAATGCTGGGGGAGGGGAATGTCAAACTGTACATTCTAGAATATTGAGAACAATGAGTTTAACGGATTACAATGTCATTACAACAAAAATAACAAACAGTACTAACTTTGTGTTATTAAAAATACAATGAAGAAAAACAGAAGGGCAACTTTTTTGTTAGTGTTAAAAGTTAGGATCATTTGGATCCTGTAGTTTTTAAACTGAAGTCACTCTTGAAATAAACATGATGTTCATAAGTGCTTGAAAGGAGAAAGCAGCCCCTCTAATACATTACCGATATTGGCTCTCCTCTTGATTTCCTTCCGCCTGTTAGCAAACCAATTATATACTTTCAGGGAGGTAACTCTTTCCAGATCTGACAGCTTTTTGCCTGTGAATGCATACAATAAAATTCAGATAATCTCCATCTGGGATACAAGAATGAACTAGTTTTAAGGATTACTAGTTTTCTTTTTTAAAAGTTGCTTTTGCTTGCCTTTATTGTCAAAGTAACAGATGCAGAGTGAATTTTTTCAGCATTACTTAGTATAGTATCTATTACTAAATGAACAAACACATAAATATACAACTAGCAACTAATAACACAATATTATTCAATTCATAAAGCTAGATACAGTATTCAAGAATTTGACAAAGTCAGTCTACCAGATGGAAGTTCACATATTACCTGGAATCTTCTCTTAATTAGCATCATTCTAGAGAAATAAGCTATTGACAAGTTTCCAGGAAGTGGAAATATATTAATAGGTTTCCTGCTATCTTAAGACAGAGGGTATTATACATATTTTCTTGAAGACTAAAGGTCACTATGTCCATTCATTACTTGAACTATGCTGGAATACACATCACCATCCAGGTTGCATTTGCGATTTACTATCTTATTTATGCTGTCAAATGTGATTTCTTACAGATAGCTCCAAGCTTGCCAGTAAGAATCTACCTGTACCATTCCCTTCTCTCTCCCATCCTTTTCTGTTTTTCAGTTTTCAATCCACAGTGGATGGAGAAACCAGAAAACAGGCTGGTTAGGGCCTTGATGGAGGGCGAAGTGTCTTCCAGGGAGAGTGCAAGTTCCTGTACAGCTTTAGAGTTCAAGTTCCTGCACACTTTTGGCTTGTTGAAACAGGATATAGCTGGCTCTCACTTATGTGTTGCTGGAGCTGAGTTTTCAGGGTTGAGATTGCTAGGAGTCTGATTTCTAGGTATTGGAGAATAAATTACTGTTTGTTATAGAACACTGATACTTCTGTATAAGCTGATCAAAACATCTGACCAAATATGTCAACTGGATCATCTTAACTGAGAATGGTTTCTGGTAAAAGATGAAAAATGTGGAATAGCATTCTAGGATGCGTAAGAAAATACCTATTATTTTGGAATTTATATATTCATACTAAGTTTTTGGAAAAATAATACATTAAAAAATAATAATTCTGGGGCTGGCGCTGTGGTGTAGCCATATGGGTACTGGTTAGAGTCCTGGATGCTCCACTTTCAATCGAGCTCTCTGCTATGGCCTGGGAAAGCAGTAGAAGATGGCCCAAGTCCTTGGGCCTCTGTACCCACACGGGAGACCTGGAAGAAGCTCCTGGCTTAGATCGGTGCAGCTCTGGCCATTGCAGCTAATTGGGGAGTGAACCAGCAAATGGAAGACCTCTCTCTTTCTCTCTCTGCCTCTCCTTCCCTCTTTCTGTAACTCTTTCAAATAAATAAATTTTAAAAAAATAATAATCCTAAGGTCTCATCTCTTATGCAGGTTCACTCCCCTGAGAGTCTCCAATGGGAGCCTTTGATTTTGAAAAACTGAACAACATCCTTCGGAAGTACTGTGTGGGCAGGAGAGGGTGGTGACCTCCAGAAGAATGGCACGGACTGAGCTGACAGCACCACATTGGGATGAGCATGAAATTTAGTGTCCTAGATGCTGGTCTGTGACTAAGGACTGTATCACGTGTCACAGAGCACAGCTGTACTTACCTGGCTTCTGTATAACTGCATTGCAAGCATTTGCAATTTCTTCTCTCTTTGCTTCATCTGGGTATTGATTCTCATTGAAGTAACTGCAGAGGCAACCAATAGAAACACAAGGTTTTCACTTTTAAAGTGCCCTCATTAAAACCCTAATTCATTGAAAATATGTTACTTAAGACCTAACATCCACATGTACAGTCCAAGCTGTCCAAGAGAAAATTCCATGAGGACAGAAAGGGTCTCTTCTCGTGCTGTCCAATATGGGAGCCACTACTCACATGGTTATTGAACCCTTAAAATGAGGCTGGTGTAAGGAATGTAAATTATATTTAATTTAAATAGCCACATGTGACTAGTGCCTGTTGTATGGGACATACTGTTACACATTGCTGTCCTTCATTAAAAGATGCTATTAACATAAAAGTTATTTTTGATATATTTGATGACAGTCACACTTACTGACATAACAATAGAGCTTTTCTGTTTTTAGTCATATTGTTTGTAGCAACAAAAATTGGAAATTACCCAACTGTTCACCAACAGGAAAATGGCAGAACAAATTTTGGGACATCAGTATTTATACACAGCTATTTAAAAACAACTAAAGAATAAAAGTTTTGTCCATTGACCTGCAGGGATGTTTGTAACATGTTTCTAAAGAAGAATCTGAAGAATAATTGGCACACAAAATCATCATTTATAAAATATAAAAATTCCTGTCTATGTGTACCTAAGTTTGCACGGAAAAAAGTACACATCAGGCTGTAAATACTGATTACTCATTGCAGGGGAAAGGGCTTAGTGGCAAGAGACAAACAATTTATCTTTGTTATTTTTCGTATGTTAAAAAGTTACATATTCTTTTTATATAACATTACTTTAAAAGAAAATTAGGTTTATTAAACTTATCCTTAGAATTATCAGACCTGTGAGGCTGTATTTAGGAACAGAATGCTTAATACTATTACTTCTTCTGTCATCTATGAGTTTTAATAAAAATATAATTTTCATGCTTTGAACCTATAAATTTAAGATACAGAAATGATCTCTCATCAAATTCTTGTACCTATCATTTCTTCAGGGGTTTCTCTTCCCTGTAATCCAGTTCTCTTCCCTATAATGCAATTCCTTCACTGTTCCTATCTGCAATGGTGGAAATGCTAACACATACTAGAGGTTCCTGCCCCTTCCCAAGAATCTCCTGAAATTGTCATCATCCCTTCTCTTGTCACAATCTCTTCCATGAAGGGTACACCTTTTCTGCAGTCTCAACAGGAGCTGCCCCTACCTACCCACTTTTCTTTTCTAAAACATGAGTCCCATAAGTGAATCTTTCCAGTCTTGTCAACGCTCACCCTCCACTATCCTGCTTTATTTCATGATTTAAGCAGCTCTTCCTATATGATTTTCTGTTATAATTTTTGGAGCTAAAGTATTTACATGGAAGATTTTTCCATGTCACTATCGACATAAATTTCTTTTTTTAATGAGACACACAAAGAGTACATGGAAAAGTTCTTCCATCTGAGGATTCACATCCAAAATGCCCTACACTAGGACTGGACTGGGCTGAAGCCTAGAACTCAATAGAGTTCTCCCATGTGGTGGCAGGAACCCAATTATTTGAGCCATCATTACTGTCTGCCATGGTATCTCTTGGCTAAAAGGTGGAGTCAGGAGCTAGAGACATACTGAACACAGACACTCTGAAGTGGGTATCTTTATCTGTCAGGCTAAATGCCCACTCCACTTGCACATTTCTAATGGTCTTTGTCTTTGCTCCACTTCTGCTATTTTCTTGGGCAAAGATACTGTGGATTAGCTCCATGAACTAGCAGGATGGGTATTAAAAAGGCAGAATCTCAAACCCATCTCAGAATCTAATCAGAATCCAAATTTTAATTGTCAGGTGACCTGAATGCATAGCGCCATCTGTGATGTACTAGATTAGTACATCAAAACAACAGTAATAAGTGGTTATTAAGTATGTAAAATGTGCTTGGCACTATAAATAAAGAATTAGTTTTTGACTTCAAGGAGTTCAAAATCTACTGGAGACAGGTATCAATAAATATAATTGCGGTAAAATATTACAGGATGTACAGACAGTACTGTGAGAGGACAGATGAAGGTGTGCTCAGTGTTGTGGGCGGGAGCCTGGTAAGACACTGCAGACAAGTACCTGTCAAGTGAGTTAGGGATGGGCAGGAGGTTGCAAAGCTGAAGAGAAAAAAAGCATTTCATTCATGACAACAGCATGTACAAAGGCAGAACGGTAGATAAAAGTCAGAATTCTGGGCATGCAGAAAAGTTCACTGTGGTTAGAACGTGGGATTCCTAACAACAAACAATAGAAATTAGCCTGAAGAGACAGGATGGGGTCAGCTTATGATGAGGTTTGTCAGTTTTATAAGACGTGAGGACTTTATGTCCTGAAATAAATGTGGGGCCTGAGGTTTAAGCCATGAAGAGATATACTCCCATATGTTTGTTAGAAAGACAACACATCTTCATGACTTCATCTTCAGAATTCTACCTTCATGATCTTAATTCTCAAGTCCCTTAGTCTCTGAATTTTTCCCGCCCCCACCAACTAAATGTTTACGTCTAATTCCTCATCTGGCCTCACCTGTCACTTCTTAGCCTGAACTCCTGGGTAAGCCAAATCAACAATATCTCTTAAGAAAAAAAAAAAAAAAGACTACTGAGCTTTCAATGATTAACACAACTCTGTAAACCATGTTTGGAAAGTGTATTTGGATCACCTGAGAAACATAAGGACTATAACTATGTTCTAGTGATCAAGAGAATAAAGCCACACTATTTTTGGGAGACATATTAGAATTTGCAATTATTGATGGTATGTGAGTTTTCCACACTGAGTTAAAAGTTTTAGAATTTGGAGCCAGTGTTGTGGTATAGTGGGTAAAGCTGCTACCTGAATGCCAGCATCCCAAATGGGTAATGGTTCCTGTCCCAGCTGTTCTACTTCCAATCCAGCTCTCTGCTAATGTGCCTTGGAAAGCAGAAGATGGCCCAAGTACTTGGGCCCCTGCCAGACATGGGAGACTCAGAAGAAGATCTCGGCTTCTTAGTTTGGACCCACCTAGCTCCAGTTGTTGTGATCATTTCAGGAGTGAACCAGTGGTGGAAGGTCTGTGTCTCTCCCTCCCTCTATGTAAATTCTGCCTAAAAATAAGTCTTTTAAAAAAAGTTTTAAAATTCATCTTCAGCCGGCGCCGCGGCTCACTAGGCTAATCCTCCGCCTAGCGGCGCCGGCACACCGGGTTCTAGTCCCGGTCGGGGCGCCAGATTCTGTCCCGGTTGCCCCGCTTCCAGGCCAGCCCTCTGCTGTGGCCAGGGAGTGCAGTGGAGGATGGCCCAGGTGCTTGGGCCCTGCACCCCATGGGAGACCAGGAAAAGCACCTGGCTCCTGGCTCCTGGCTCCTGCCATCGGATCAGCGCGGTGCGCCGGCCGCAGCGCGCCAGCCGCGGCGGCCATTGGAGGGTGAACCAACGGCAAAGGAAGACCTTTCTCTCTGTCTCTCTCTCTCACTGTCCACTCTGCCTGTCAAAAAAAAAAAAAAAAAAAAAAATTCATCTTCAATCTCTATTTTTAGGATCTCACAATATAAAATAAAGACTAGGAGGGTAAAATGAAAAAATCAGCTTTTTCCAAGTCAAAAGCTCAAGAAAATAAGAATTCATTCCGTAGTTTCAAATTTTTAAGCTTGGCAACTAATTAATTCACTCTTCTCTGTAAAAGATGTATTTTTATAATGAAGAACATTAATTTTCATTAAAATATGCTAATAAAACTGGAGGTGTGTACAAAGGACTGTTCTATCTTCTTTTTCTATGTCTGAAATAATTCAACATTTTAAAAACAATTCATGATACATAGTATAAAAACTGATAAACATATATAAGATATCTTATGTTACATATTTAAGTTCAAAGCTCTTAAAATCTTTCTTTGTGGGGACACACAACACTGATATAAGTGGAAGAGTTTTTAGGAAAGATATTAAGTAGATCAGGAAATACAATAGTCAGCACATACGTATTACCTGACTATGACTAAGGCACTGTATTTGATGAGTATATTTAGGTTCAAATCAGGAGTCCTGATTTTAAGAATCTATGATTCAGTTTAGGAGAAAGATTTTATGAAAGCATCAATAAAAGGAGTTAAAACAACAGTCAACATAATGTAACTGTGATAAACCAAAATGCAGATAGCTGCTAAGTAACTGTATCAACATGTTAAATAAATTCAGAATAGAGATTAACTCTACAGACTGGACATATCTGAGAATGCTCACTCAACTGGCCAGGCTTCTGAGGGATGCACAGGCTCTGGAAGGGGCAACGTGAACAGTAATGATAAACTACAAATGCATAAAAATGTAAGATGTATTTGGAAAATAGAAGGCAACTAGTGATCTGTGATCTGATTAGACTTTAAGGGTTATACAGAGGGTTTCCACACATCCTCGTTTTCCTGGGATACTACTGTTGGATTATTAATACTTGCCCCCACCCCTACTCCTACCCCAATCCCTCTCCCAAAGTATCCCATTTGGAATATTGATTTATCTGAATTTAATGTCAATTAAAATCTCCTCTTTTTCATGTCTGCTCTACAAAAAAGGATGTAACTGCTCAGAAAAAAAGAAAGCATAAGGAGAACAAAGGCGTGGGCCCCTGCGACTCAAGTGGAAGACCTGGATGAAGTTCAAGGCTCCTGATTTCAGCCTTGCCCAGCCCCAGCCGTTGTGGCCATTTGGGGAATGATCAGTGTAAGGAAGATTTCTTTCTCTCCCTCCCTCCCTCTCTCTCTTGCTTTTGCTCTAGCTGTCTCTCCCTCCTCTCTCCTTTGGGGAATGAATCCGTTTCAGGAAGATTTCTTTCTCTCTTTCCCTTCCTCCCTCCTTCTATGTTAGTCTTCCAAATAAGTAATCTTTTTTTAAAAAACAGGAAGATAACTACATTTTCTATCTAACTACTTACAAAGGAACTATCACAGTTCAAGGAACTTGGTTGGAATATAATAAACGATAAATATCTGCATATTCAGTGGTTTTAG